TGATTGGACCTTTAAGTGTTGCATATTTAGAGTTACTCAGATTTTGAGTACTGTTGCTTTTTGTTTTACAAAGGTAGAACACATGTTCCAGGAAAAATCTCCAGAAAAAAGGAATGTCTCTGTTTTTGAAGCTTTTAACACATTCTGAAATAACCTTTACGATCTTCTGTGTGTGTGCAGTGAAGAAAAGACAAATCCACCTGTTGCATCGTCCACACGTCCTCCTCCTCGTACTCCTCCTCCTCCCTCCAGTGAGGAGAGCAGAGAGACTCCATCACACAGCGGGATTCAAACACAAAACCACAGGCCGAGTCCCGGGCAGAGCCAACAGCCAAGACCAGCAGAGAGACCAGCAGGGAGACCAGCAGAAAGACCAGCAGAAAGACCAGGAGGGACTGGAGTGAAAGGTGAAGAAGAAGAGGAAGAGGGGGGAGGAGAGGAAGAGGAAGGTGCAGAAGAGGAGGAAGAAAAGGAGGCCAGAAAATAGACGAGGATGTGTTTGTTTCAAAAGGCCGCTCGGGAGATGAAGACGTTCTAGGGATCCTACAACAGAAGCTTTAATGTACAGAAATCTGATGTTCACTTTGATTTTTAGTGTTTTATTAAAGGTGACATATCCTCCTCCTCTTCTTCAGTGTAAATAGGTCTCAGAGTTCCTCAAAACATGTGTGTGAAGTTTCTTGTTCTAAATCCACTCTGATCCTGTATTTGATCATGTCTATAAACCCCTCTGTTTCAGCCCTGCTCAGAACAGGCTGTTTCTGTGTCTGTACCTTTAAATATGTAAATGAGCTGTATCTGACCACGCCCCTCTCTGGAAGGGCTTGGGTGTACTCGGTCTTTCTCGCTCCATGTCCTATTGTTTACAGTGAGAAGGCAGACTCAGAGGGTAGAACAAACACCTAGCTGTGGGAGTGTCACCCACCTGGGGGAGGGGCTACTGCCCTTTGTGATGTCATGAAGGGAAAATCTCCAAACGGCCGGTTTAACACACATTTTCTGAAAAGTGGAGCAGGCAGAAGACGGAGAGGATGGACTTTTCTCATGATTGGGGGATTTGTAGACGGACTAGAGACACATGTTAGAGTTAGAGAAACGTGTTTTATATAATATGTGACCTTAAAAAACATTACAAGAAAACATTTGTTGGCGTCTTCTTCCTTTAAAGAACTGAAATAAAAAGACGTCACAGCTCACAGGGTTTGATATAAACATTTTTATTCTTGGACATGAATCTTAACACACATTAGTTTAAATAGAGACTTTGTAAAAGAGTGCTGAAGCTCTGCTGCTGCTGCCGGAGGAGGAACAAGTTTCACTCCGCTCTGATGGAGGCGTCCTGGTTCCACAGGTTTAACTTTTTAAAGACCCTCTATTAGTTTCTCCAACTGAACATGAGCAGACACTGGTCGTTGTTTTATCCTCCTAGTTGTTAACTACAGAAGCCTAGAGGGACAAGTGGACCCGTTTGCCGGTCTTTCCAAATGTATGACATTATCTGCCTGGACAAAAAACTCTGAGGGAGTCATTCAACAGCTGCATAATAAACTTTTCTATAACTGTTAGAAATGCTAAAGTCGGAGCTTTCACTCCACTGGAACCAGTCGGATCTTTAGTCATATTGCATTTTATCTCCTGAGCGTGCAGCGGGAGCAGAACCTCAGCGCCCTCGAGTGGTTACAACCATTGCTGTGACTGAAACGAAGCCAAGCTTTAGCGGTTTTGAACACGTTAAGTCTTGTCGACTCAAACCTCTAAAACTGACACAAGAGTACAAACTGCTGCATCACAAACATGACGAACGCTCAGCAGACGCTCGCTGTCGTTTTGGGCTACACTGTAAAAAATAAAGAAAAGTCCGTCTTAAAAAGTGAGTAAAGCTCATCTCTGTAACGTGTCCGGCGTTCTGAAGTAAGGCAGTCAGCAGTGAAATCTTTCAACCCCACAGCTTCTCTTGGTTTGAACATTCAGTGTTAGTCACAGTTTAAGAAGGACTTCTCTTTATTTATTTATTTTTTTTTTTACAGTTTTTCTCTCTATTACAACTTTTCACAAACTGAAAAACAGGAGAAAAAAACACCTTTAATGATCACTGCGGACCAAACAGGAATCTGTGCTGGTTCAGCTCAGCCTTAGTACCAAGGTGCAAACACAATGTTGGACGCTCTTTTACCATTCAGCATTTGATTTTTCTCCTGCAGCCTGATTTACAATCGATTAAAACATACCGTTGATTTATCAAAAGTTACAGATCGATTTTCTGCCTCCAGACAGACTCCAGACACTTCAGTTTCTTTAAACATTGTGAACACAGACGAGAAGCTGCAGACTGAGCTCCACATTCACTCCACTGTGCAGAGACATGGTCGTCATGGTGACACACACGTTCATGTGGTTTCTGAACCAGTGACATTGTCAGAGTTCAAGATTCAGAAAGTTTTGATGGACAAATTTATAGACGTCATGCAAGATTTTAAAAGATCAAACGGAGAAGATTAGTTAATTTAAAGTCAGAATGTGCGACATGTTCCACATAAATATATCAGAGATCCAGCCTGTCCTGTGTAAATGTGTCTCTGAGTCCTGACTGTCTACAATGAGGGAGAAGCTCGAGTCCCGCTGGCTGTGTTGTTGTCAGAGCCGTGTTTACATGGACGGGACGGCCGGCTCCTCCCCTTGTGTATAAAAGCTGTTTTAGTCAAGAACTAGAGAGAAGAAGAACATACTCACTGATTATTTGGATGTTAGTAAGAGTTTTTAGATCACGCTCATTCTGTGTCAGTTTACATGAAATGCTAAGCTACGAGCTAACTAAAGAGCGCTAACATTAGCATGCTAACACAACAATGCAGCTTGCGCTTACTGCTTAATTATGGATCGTTCTAATTGATAACTCCTTTGTGTGAACGTGAGGGGAGGGGGGGTCGGAGGTGTGTCTCTGGAGGAGAGCGGAGGCTTCAGTATGGAGGAGGCGTGGCCAAACAGCAGTTTGTTTTGGTTTTAATGCTGGTGCTCAAGGGCGACATCTACTGGATCAAAAAGTTGCACATTCTTCCTTTAAAATCTTGTGAGGCCAAACGTCAGCTGACGTGACTTTCCTTTGACTTTGACCCTCTGTAATGGTCGCCTCAGTGAGCGCTGTGTCACAGCACGCTGCAGCTCAAACTGCTGACCTTGATGACACACAGGTGGAAAACGTTTTATTATTTATTTCTTGTACCGTCCGTCGTCTGAGGAAGCTGCTTGTGTTGATCTGTCACATGAACTCTGCTGTGGGAGGAGTGAATGTGGAGCTGAGACGTATCGCTCAGACATATTTAAGTTTGCTGATGACGGACTGTGAGCCGATGGCTGCAGCTTCTGTAAAATGAAGACGCTAAAAGGAGCAGATTGCATCACTTCTCTGCACAATGCAAAAAATAACTGACTATATCATCTGACTCTAAATATAATATTAATTCATCTCTCCGCACTTTTTGAAATGATAGAATGGATTGCACAATAAAAAATAAAAGCATGTCATTGAGGACAGCATTCCTCCTGCATGATTCAAACTGCACGATCCCGTTGAAACCCTGAACCATCGAAGATGAAAATCTCCAAACAAAAAGATTTTTCTTTTTTAATTTCCCCCCACCCAGATAAATGTCATACACCTCTAAATCTCTACCAGGCATTAATTCAACGACGCATACAATGTACAAAAATATATGATATACTGCTTTAATGACACATTCATCAGAGGAAGTGACCTCGCCTCCCGCTCACATCCAAACCATCCGTCCATCCTGAGCTTCAGTCCGACTTTTCTCCAAACTACAATCACTCGTTGTGTTTTCACTCTGCTGGCTCGTTTTAAAAAAAAAACTGTTTGGAGAAAAATCTCGACTGTCGGATGAAATATCTCGTTTGGATGGATTTAATGTTTCAGCATATGTTCCCAGAGCCCAGCAGGGGGCGACGACGTGATATGAAGATATCATGCAGTTAGATGCAGGTTTGATATTAAATCATGACGATTGCATTTGAAGACGTTACGCAGCGCCTTGCACAGAAATAAAGAATGCATCAGTTTCATCTATCAGTGTATTTATGTCTCTTTGATGTGTCTCTGTTCTTTAATTTGTCCTCTTTTATACTCTCGACTTTTTGAGTATCCCCCCCAAACACACTGTCGGTCATTTGCAACACGTGAAAAGCTAAATATCACGACCAGAGAAGAAGAGAAGCTAACAAAGACTCCAATCACACCTGATATGAAGCTGCAGTCTGTATCTGTAGGGCCGTGTCGCTGCTATCGCTATGCTAGTTTTGGTTAGCCCATTAACAGCAATTTCTATTATGTGTTAGCAGTGGGCTAACGTCTTTTTTTGTTAGCTTAATGCTAACACATAATGGTAAATAATGCTACAGTCCCACTGACCCGTACGAACTTGGGCCGCCCGCTTGGAGGACGACAGCCTCCGCACACGAGGTTCGAGTACTACACACTAGGCTACCAGCGCCCCTATCTCTGACTCTCTTCAACTGAAGATCGAATCAGGCTTTGCACGTTTGTTTCATCGTCTTTAGTCATCGGTCTTTTCTACTCATGTCGGTTTATAAAACCAAAGAATAAAGCGAACGTTACAGAATGTAGACATCTGGAGATCATCTCTGAGTTTAATCAGAGTGATGGGGACGTTTTTAATGATTTAAACTATGAAGACGTCTTGTCCTTCTAGCTGATCTCAGAACAGTTTCAGGCGCTGCTCACGTCCAACAGGAGCGGTTCACACCTAGCTGTACTGTTGCCATGACGACACACAGATACAGACTGAGCTTCAGCACGCGGTGGAAAACGAGGCCGGAAGGCTGCTCAGCTGTCGCACGATGACCGAGGAAACATGAAACGTGTCGGGGCTCATGTTGGTGATGGTGGGACGAAGCTCACGCAGACAAACTTTAAACATACTAAACCATCTGAGACTTCAAACAAACACCGTTACACCTCTCTCCTTTTTTAACCATCGACATCAGTTTCATACTTAGATAAAAAGATCATCAGATCTGGATCCAAACGGGAAGACTTTGTTATATTCTACAAGCTGGCCAACTTCTAAAGTTTAAACTTTAAAGGGAACATTCAAAAAACAAACCGTCCGTCTTCCAGGGTTCAAACTAAAGCACGCCGTGCGACTCTCCTCACAGCTGCTCTCGCCGAGCGGCGGCGGAATGACTCTGCTCTCGCTCTGCGCTCCGATCAAACTCTGATAACCATCTGTTATTACAGATCACAGCTGCAGCTCGGCCAGATATGAAGGAGCTCGTTCCAAAAACGCCTCCCGTACCTCCCCCCTCTCTCTCTCTCCATGAAAACAAAACGTGGCCTCGCAGTGACAGTCGAGAAAAAAAGGGCGCAGAGGATTAAATCCTGCAGGAAGTCGACCCTCTGTGTCTCACTCTGCTCGCTCGCTCACGTTGGAATGAAACGCTCCAGAAGGCCGCTGGCTGAACGTCGTTTGAGACACTTTCAGGGAACAGAAAGGGAACGACTCGAGTCTCTGGCAGAGAACACGCTTTGTTTTTGTTTTTTAAGAAGCTGCCAACAAATCTGTGAGGAGAGAAAACCTGCAGCTCGTCAGCTCAGAGAGGGACGGACACGAGGTGCAAACCCGAAAAGCTAAATATCACGAGAGAAGAAGAGAAGCTAACAAAGACTCCATTCACACCTGATATGAAGCTGCAGTCTGTATCTGTAGGGCCGTGTCGCTGCTAACACTATGCTAGTTTTGGAGCTCAAACAGCTACAGACACACAGAGTAAGAACGCTTCTTAAAGAGCGTTCCTGTTTCTCTGTCCGCTGTGGAGACACGATCACAGAGTGGCAGCTAACGGCCGCGGCGTGCACCGAGTATGAGGAAATAGGCAGTTAACCTCGGTTTAGCCTGATGTTGGAGCTCTTCCTTTTTTTGGGAACACGAACTAATAACTAAAAACTTATCTAACAAACGTTTTGACTGAATTAAACAACTCGAGGACGAAAAGCAGATTTTAACAACGTCCTTTAAAACTTAGCAAAACCATCAAAAAGTAGAAATCCTTCCTAACTTTTTCACACCTCGACACACTTCTTTAAAAACCTTCCAGACTAAAGATTCACTCTGAACGCTGCAGCTTCCCAAAGACACCATCACCAACGATGAGTCAGCAGAAATCAAAACTCTCTCTGCCTCGTCTCCTCAGCTGAGCACACTCTGAATGTGTTCTTTAAAAACTTTTCCTGAAGCACGTTGACCTAAAAAGCAGCAAAGACTGAACAGTGAGGACTCATTAACTATTCTGACTGTTAGCACCCGCGACGTTAGCTCCGTTATGCTAGCTGGCGGCTAAAACATCGTACATCTCTACTAATTTTGTGACTGCACTCGACGAGTTTCACAGATATTTGTTCAGAGGCGGAGAAGCTGGAGCTCTACGGCTAAGACTAGCGTCAGGTTGAAGCTTTTCATCGTCTGTTTTGTTTTTTTTTAGACGACAGCGTATGTACAGAGAGACGGGGTCAGAGTCATGCTGCGAAAGCGACGTCACATTCAGCGTCTAGAAGAGAAGATCTCCAAATGAAAGCACGTCATGTCTGTTTGATCGTGGAGACTCGTGTGTGTGTTTTCTAGTTTCAGGGATGAGAGTGGGAGCAGCAAAGTGCAGCAGATCGGTCCAGGTTAGCTTCAGGCTAACAGGAGGAGAGAGACAGTTAGCATGTTTAAGTGAGCTGAATACTGGATTCAAACAATCTCCACGTGTTGACACTCTCAAACTTCAGAGGGGATTTGGAAAACGTGTTGCTGGTGCTCCAAAGAAGTTAAAGGAAGTGATTTAAGTTTATTTATTTGTTTGTTTGGAAGAGAGGCGACCGGTTTTTGCTGCATTTGATGTTCCTGTTAGCATCCCCGTCACCTTTGAGCTAACTGATTTCATGTGATTGAGTAGCTCTCTTTTTTTAATTTTTTAATTTATAATTCAGCTATGTGTGTAGAGGTGTGTGTTGGTGTGTGTGTGTGTGTGTGTGTGTGTGCGTCGGGATCAGTAGACACACAGGTCTGGAAACTTCATCTCGTAGACGGGGACCGACTGATGCTGCGTGTGTCCTGATGAGATGGAAACCACTCCGGATGGGCTGGGTGGAGGCCTGAGGGGGGGGGAGACGACAACAACTGAGTCCCCTCACTGTGTACAGATACTAGCTCAGAGTGTGTGACTATAAAGGTTTCACAACATTAAAAGACGACTTACCGTATTGTGAGCTCAAAGATTTGTGCCAGACGGTCGTGCAACATGTTGGCCTGCGGATTAAAGAAGAAGAAGAAGAAGAAGAAGAACATATCCATCATTAAAATCACTTTACACTCTGTGCTACACACAAACAGGAAGTAGCGCCCGAGCAGTTTGGGGGTTCCAGTGTGTTGATCCATGACCCCTCAGCATTGATCAGGAAGTGACCAGACACCTCTCCAGCTCCCAGGCTTGGTCAGCATCAACTATGACACTTTAAGACCCTCTTTGAAAATCGCTGATTCATCGTGTTTCCTACCTTGGACTCGCAGTGCGCAGCGATCTCCTCAAACGGAGCCTTCTGGAACTTCTCCATCACCTGACGCCTCTTCTCCCTCTCCTGCTCCTCCAGACCCGTGGTATCTGAACACAGGCAGAGCAGTGTGAGCCGAGTCTTTACAGGGAGTCTGAATCATTCACAGGACTCTGCTGTGAAACGTTACAGCTTCCTGTCCCAGGAGGAGGGGGAAAAAACATCAAGATCTTACCGATGGCCTTCTTCAGGGTCTCAAACGTGATCTCCTCAGCCAGCGGAGACTGCACACACACAAAGGGAAACAGAAAGAACAGGTTTGACTCTCCTGACATGTGAAGGAGGCGGAGCTCTGCACAGGAAACTTAAAGGATCCTGTTCTTCTTTTTTGTGACTCAGCAGATTTCTTTTTGTTTGTCCTCCAGTGAAGTAAGGGTGTGTGTGTAGTGGAGTTTGGACTGACCTTGTCGGGGAGGCTGTTGGACATGATGTCCACCTGAAGGGAGATGGTGTCGACGAAACTCTTCCTCCTGGTCAGACGGTCTTCATCTGCAGAGAGAGACACATTTCACCTTCAGATTAGAACTCCATCAGATAAACGTCTCCAAGGTCATCAGATTATCAAAGTCATGACGCAGTTCAAAGAAGAACAAAAAAATCATCTTCTTTTTGCCCAGGCAAACTAGAACGCTGCAATGTACACTTTCATCTCTGAGTGGTACGATCGCCCGGCGTCCATCGTGCCTCAGGGTTCACTGCTCGATGGACGCCGGGCGATCAGCTGCTCTGGATCGGTCGGATGACTCTCTGACATGTTTTGATATTTTTAGTCGTAGGACTCTACACACTCACACAGACCGATTCCTCGACTCAGGGACTTTTCTTCTCTCCAGATTTCACCTTCACAAACTGACAGACAGCGACTGAAATCACCACGGCAACAGCAGGCATGCTCTCAACCTTAATGGATTTCTCCGTAGTTACATTCCCCGACCTTTAACAGCAAAGTGCACGAGAACAAACACAAACCAGACTACACTTCAGACGTCTACACGAGGTCAGATAAGACGTACTCACCGCGACAGGTCCAGACAGAGAGGAAAGCAAAGAAAAGTGGTAAAAATGATCATTTCATTTCCTGCAGTATGATGACGTCTACGTCTACTTACAGCAGCTATCACTGGACATCTCAGAGGCTACAAGGAGAGATCTGGATGTGTTTGAAGGTGTGTGTGTGGTGGTTTGTTTTGTGTCTCTGTGTTGAAGCTTCAGGGTTTGTGGGTTCTAAAGAATCTGTCAGAGGGAGGCTACATTCAACACGACTGAAACAAAAACACATCTGATTGTCTCTAGAGAGGTGTCACACTGCAAAGGCTGCTTCCTGTTCCACTTCATTCAAACAGCAACACATTTAGGATGTTTAACCTCTTTCCTCTAAAGACCCTGACACACCAAGCAGACGGCTAAGAACGACAAAAGTTGCACTTGAATGCACCGCAAAGACTACAGCCGACGGCCAATCACCACGTACGTTCTGCTCATGAGAGGAAATAACTCTCCATGCCAGCAGGGGGCAGTAGCTTGTTGTTATGATATGAGAAGACCATTTTCACACCGCTGTCGCTCACCACTCGTATTATAGGTCGTCTACTAATGGAGAATAATGTCTGATAAATAGTAGAAGATGGCGCTGGCGTTGTCAGTTCTTGGTCTTTTAGTGGAAAAAGAAAAGAAGAGGAGGAGGAGACAAATAAGGAGAAACCTCACTAATGGGTGAAAGCATGGATACTACAGAGACATGCTCAAGAGGCTTTAGAGAACCTGTGAGGAGAGCTGGAGAGAAATGAAACCTCCCAACAACCAATCAGAGAGATTCCTCTCACGACCGTCGACTTAAATATCAAACTGACAATTTGTTGTTTTTGTTTTTAGATTTTATAACTCTGTTTCTCAAAAGTTTGTGTCTTAATTTTGAGACAGGACGGTGGATAGAGTCAGAAACCGGGTAAAGAGCGAGCAGGGGAATGACATGTAGGTAAAGGAGCCACAGGTCAGATTTGAACCCGGGTCGCCCACCTTGAATTTTCTCAAAGATGAATGGATCACAAACAAACCAATTTAAGGCTTTAAATAAAGACATTTAGGATTGATCAAGTGGTTTTCAGTGTTTGGATAATCGTCCTCCTCTAAAGTCAGGAGATCGGAATCAGCAGGAACACTAAAGGTTTCTACTGGACTGCACAGAGACCTGGTCTACAGCTGGGCTCTCACACGTTACCTCTGGATGTCTGCTTGCACCTGTGGAGGATCTTTCCTACTGTGTAAAGCACTGATGTTACATGAGAGCAGAGAGAAGACAAGAGAAGAAGAACCCTGAGTGTTAGGGAAGAAGAGCCCAACATCTGAAAACATCTGAAAACATCTGAAAACATCTGAAAACATCTGAAAACATCTGGACTCCAGAGGTACATCCACTCTGTTTTAGTGACTATTTTACTTTATACTTTTACTCGAAAAATAAGCAAAATGGTAATTTATAATAATTACCATTTTTATTTTAGAAGTCCAATCAGTGAACTGTGTAGAGAGTGAAATGATAAAGGTATCTTACTATCTGATCAGACATTAAGGAAACATGCTATGTTGAAGTGCTGGCTTCTCTGACAACAATGCAGTGATTGTACCCGACCTAAAAAGCCTCTGCATGTTTCTAATAAGCTCCACGAGCAGAAACGTGCTCAAACTAGGATCAATATTGGAGATGCTTTTGAAAAATGGAGAGAGGTTAGAACACAGAAAGGTTTACAGACCCATGCAGAGCTGGATAAACACTGAAGCTTCAGTGTCCACCACATGGTGACCTGAGTGAGGGGGGGGGGGGACAGCTCTCTACAATGTTTAGAATTTGGACTGCAGTACCAATTTTAAACACTAGGTGTCAAAGCTACATATTTCTCCTTTAAGTTCAGAGAGATTTTAAGTATTTTTTTTTTTTTTAAATATGAGGTAATAATTGTTGGAGAAGCAGCTGTTCTTCATGAAATCTTGCAGAGTTCACGTTGTTCTAATGTAATTAAGACAAACTCAAACTGTAAAAACTCTTCAGGTGCACGACCACAAAAAGACTCACAAGAAGGTAGAAAAGTCAGAACAATCAACGTCCTTTAACATCAGAGCAGCGTACAGATTAGCCAAACAGACTTCATCAATGTTGATGAATTTTTTAAATAACAGAAACTGTATCGTCTGAAAACACAACGTATCAAAATGTATGAAAGTATGGAAAGTTTTTCACATCCTCACCTGTGACCTGAGGAACGTAAGGAACCGACAGCCTCTCTGCGTTGTACCCCGGTCCTGCCAGACACTCTGCCATGTCAGCCGTCTGGAAGTACAGCGGCCTGTCCTCTTTATCCAAAGATTCAGGAAGTCTGGGGAGGAAATGTTAATACCATGATCGATGACAAAGATCGTAAATGTGTCGAGGATTCAGGATAAATACTCTGGGTCATGTACGCCGAATAAAGCAGAACACAGCTGTCCAGAAACTCGTCACCGCTCGCGTCCAAATTTAGAATCTGAAATCCCGTCTTCCGCTGCAGACGGTGATGGAAGCAGCCGGATTACAAAATCAGAAATAGATCCTGCTTCTCATAATCTCATAATCAGGTTTTATCAACAGATGTCTGTGGATTTCTGGGTCAAGCAGAGAATGACTGCAGGATTTGTTCACATGAAGCTCAGTCAACTTTGGTTTCCAGGATATCTGGAACCTGGAGTTGTCAAATATCACTGAGACGCCTCGGTTCAATTCCTCATCAGACCAAATAAGGAGAGAAATTAGAAAACTGTCCAGGCTAGATGGTCAGTGACTACTGTTTATTAGTATTTGGTTCACTTCCCTTGTTTGGTTCAGATCACGTTCTCACCTATTGCAAACCCAAAACCGGTGCACAACTCCCGTTTTTAAGCGGACCAGAGTTCAGTTCTTTGGTTCGCACCAGATTTCGTTTTAGTGTTCAAACCACCCCAAAGCAAACAGACGACCTGACAAAGCGAATCAGAGTTCCTTTCAAAAGGACCAAGCAGCTCAGGAGTGACTGCACCCTCAATCACCAAACAAAAAGGAGCTGGGGGAGACTTCCTGTATCGACATATTTCTGTTTGTACCAAAAAGTACGTTTGAAAGCCAGCCTCAAAACATTGATGGTTCTTGAAGCTGTTTTAGTGCCGCAATGATAATGTTCACGAAGTCAAATACTTCCCACCACTATCATAAAAATGTTGTTCTTCAACAGTTTTGAGGGCGAATTCAGTCATTCAGATACATCCTTCTCTAAAAATGTAATGAAACTGAACCTCCTCTGTGCAGAGAGGTGGACACTTACGGACACTTGTCTCTGAAGACGTGCTCTGGGAGGAGGTACGGGGCATCCATGTTCCTCAGCTCAATGACCTGAAGAGGACACAACACAAAAAAGTGAAGCAAATAAAGACAAATAAAGACGACAGTAACTGCAGATACTGTAGGTCAAACAGGCGAATATAGCATGACATCATCAGCATATTGATTAACCTTCAGTATTCAGTCTGCAGAGCCTCATGAGAGAAACATTCACGATAAGAACATCAACAAAGACTCAAAATGGACACAGCATGAAGAGTTAATGGAGCACCTTGCTGACGTGCTGACAGAAGGGGGGGTTTGCGATCATCTGGCTCAGGAAGTTGAGGTACGCCGCCACCAACGCCATGATCCCGCAGCGAATAAACATGGGCATGTTCTCCTCATTAGACAGAACCATGTCCTGCACAGACAAGGAACAAAACATCCCAAACTATAACAAACAGAGCACATCATCCCAGAGCAGTACATCACAGACACATATAGAGAGGAGATCCTCAAATCCTCAGGTAACAACCGAGATGCATATTTTAAAATAACACAAGATCTAATCTTACGCTTACAGTCTGTTGGATTAAACCAGAGGTTACCTGCAGAGCGATGGCGAGCCGAATGAGGTCGATGACCACCTCCTCGTTGGCCAGCTCGATGGTCAGAACGGCCAGAGTGGTAAAGAGCAGCTCAAAGTTTTTATGGACGTTATCCTCCTCTTTAACACCCAGATAGATGTGACGGTAGAGCTGCTGGCCGTGCTGCAGACGAAAAGATGGAGAGAGCATAAAAAAGAAAGTTTAAGAGAAAAAGAGATCAATTAAAAAGGATGCACAGTTCAAAGTGAAGAGAAAGAAAACAGCCAGGACTCTGTGTTTTGCCCCAGATTTATTAGGTTAGTTTTTGTTGACTCAGCATGTTTCTGGGCGCTCAGTTGAGTTTGAGAGTGGGTACAATTCAGTGATTGTACGGTGGAATTAGTATAATCACAGTGTGGTGAAACACCAAGCGGATAAAGGTTGTTCTAAAACGAGGGTGAACCTTGTGTTGTCTTTTACCCGTGGACATGGAGTTGGTCTGCTTCCTGTTGGACAGACAGGTGACAAACACAGATGGTTAGCTTGTGCTAACTCATGTTAGCTCCAGTTTGAATTTTGTGTTTACAAACTGCAACCAACATTTCTACTGACTCCACCTTTAAGATCTTCAGTCATATTTGAACTGGAAGCCACAAGGAGAAGAAAAAGCCAAGGTGTTCCATTCAAGCTCACAGGTCAGCAAATACGATTATTTTTCAAATCCCGTTTGGCATCTCGTAAAGACACAAAAGTTATGTTTACATATTTTACAAACACACAGAGAGCAGAGGAGCTGACACTGTCAACGTTTTGGTTCGGAAACATTGCCAATCTGTTTGTGTAATCTGGTCAGTATTCAAGAGTTCACCTGCAATATTTAGTTATTAATAACAGGAAATGATCCAGTCATGTGTTGCATAGGACTTATTGTTTTATGTTGCTGTGGTTTAGAAATGGGTGTTGATATCTCCTTATCTGAACTAGTATCAGTAAGGAGTTTGAAATTCTGGCTTTGTGATAACCATTCTTCAATCTTCAGACTCCCACTGAAGCCGGTGTCCTTCTGGCTGCCCTTAAAAATCATCATGTCATATCTTTTCAGCCTGGTTGCTTCTGTGACCTCTGGAACCGGCAGGTTCTTGGGATTTCCCATCGACAAGCAACTATGACCGTCTGCCACATGAAGGCTTTGAAAACATGACTTCCTCCGATGACCCAGAATAAGACCTGCTGACCGCACACTCCCTGTTCACCTTCAAAGCTTGATTGGGCTTCTCAGGTCAGTCTGGCTGCTACAACCTCACCTCTGCTCCACCTCTGGTTTAAGGAAATTAGGATGCCCACTTTGAACACTTCTCTGAAATGGTTCAGACTATAACGGCAGCAGATAAATCAAAAGAGGGAAAGTGATTTATTGATACTAGGGACCGAATGAAACATGAAATCCATGATACTATACGTATAACTATATAAAAATGTGATTTTATTATGATTTATTTTACGCGAGGTGATAAGACTTATGTAAATCAGTGTACTTCTTGTGATGAAAGATACAACAGAAAAAACACCAACCAGAATTTACATTTTTAGAAACTTCAAATCTCGTTAGGTTAACTGGTGACTCTAAATTGACCGTAGGTGTGAATGTGAGTGTTTGTCTCTATATGTCAGCACCGACAGTTAGGCTACCGGCGCCCCCTTGACAGCCCTGGATATTTCTATTGATCACCAGTCTCTAGGGATTTTTATTTCTTGCCAGTTTTCTGCTCAGCTCAAGTCTAAACTACTACTTTGATGTATTCTAGCACCCTCTGCTGGTTAAAATGAGTATTGCAGAAGATATTTTGGTCCAATCGATTTAAATTGACCATATTTTACGGACATATCCGTAATCAAATTATTAAAATAACCATTTACTGTCCCCGTAGGTCACATATTGCACTCCTCCTCCTCTGCAGCAGCTCACTTATTTACAGTAATGAGATTGTTATTGTGTGAGAAAATGCAAATGAAAATGCCCCCGTGCCATCGGCTGAATGATTAATCCTATTAACTCTGAATCAGCCTAAAAATAACCGAGTGTGTCAGAGGCCGCGCTCTGCAGAGACGCTCTTTTATGAAACAAATAAAAATGAGTCCTCACCCCTGCATTCATCTGCTTGACGTGGAGCCTAATGGGAAGTGAAGGCCAGCAACGTTTCCTCCACTAATGAATACCAATCAGATGCCGTTAAGGACCTCTGACGTTGAATGAGAGCTGCAGCGCCGTCCTGTGACAGCCGCCGCCTGGCGGCCCGTTCTTTCAGGTGTGTGACGCGCGGGTAAAGGTCACCACTCAGGTGTGAGTCACAGGTGAACGACTTAATCGGAGGGCTCTTTTAGAAATGTCATGTGCTGACGGGGAGCGGGCTCCTCACGTCAGTGTCGATAAGTTGTGTGAATCTTTTTGTTATTTCCATAAA